CTAGCATAATATGTCGGTACCCATTTATACTCCTGGGTAAAGAGATGCAAACGAAGAGACATATTACCTTCCCCAAAGACACAAGCGACTTGCATGGAGCATTAGCTTGAACTTCTGACCACACGAGGTTGAGAGTCCAAGCCACAACCGCTGCGCCAACCACTTTAAGTTCAGCTTTTAATCATAATAAGCTAGCTGCTGTGGGTTGCTTTAACTGGTTGAATACAGAGTAGTTCTGAGAAACTGCAGGTTATGATCACATCCATTAGTCTTGATTCTTTGTTCATTGCGTGTTATACGGTATGATATTTATTAGTGCTGTTACTGCTGATCAATGAACAGCCTAGAATTTACCCCATTTAAAACATTTTAATATAAAATTACTTAAAGGAGTACAATGTAGAACAACAAAGAGATACACTGGCTTAAGAGGCAAACCGTATGAAACAAGATTTCCAAAAATGAATTTAATGAGGTTAGAAGATAGAAGAATCACTTAGACCACCTAAAGCAACATTTAAAGAAGACTATGAGAAAAACACATTCAGTCAACATGTTACAAGACTTAATAACCTCCCGTCTATATAAACACCTTAAAAGCAGACTATATGCCTACACAATTTTGAGGTTAAAAAGGCGAATAGCCGCTCGCATCTATTCCCCACCACCGGCTCAAGGTTAAGCCCGGCTTAACGTTGCCGGGTGTTGGATTTAGCCAGGCGCGAGGACCTGAAGCATATTCATGAAGCGGAACCAGGAAATGATTTTAAAAACAATGCGCACGAGACATACGTTCGCTAACAGCAGACGTAATTGAATGCTGATTAGTCAATTTTTGATCGGAGGTCAACGCGGGACTCCCTTTCAGCGATTAAAGCCCGGCGTAGGAAAGATAAACTGAGGCCTAGTTCAGACTAGGTGGATAATAAACCCGGCTTAACTCACGGGGTTTATCCACGTGCCAGTCTGAACTAGGTGGCTTATCTCAAGCCGGTCTGTCGTGTTCCTATAGTAACTAGGCCTGGCGTGCCACCGTGTTTAACTTTTCTAAGCCGGGCTTTAATCCCTGCGGGGGTCTTCCATTGACTTGGTTTAAAAAATGAACAATCAGCATTCAATTACGTGTTTTGTGAGCGAGGGTACGTTTCGAGCGCATTGTTTCGAAACTCGTTTCCTGGTTACGGTTTATTACTAGGCAAATGCTAGCGCCTGGCTAATCCCGCTAGTTTGAACGTCCGGCAAAGTTAAGCCGGGCTTAAACTTGAGCCGGGCTTAACGTAAGCCAGGCTTATCTTCAAGTCTAAACGTAGCCTGAGTGGCCTAGTTACTGTAGGAACAACGCCCAGCTTGAGATAAGCCACCTAGTTCGGACTGGAAAGGCGTATAACCCCGGTGAGTTGAGCCGGGTTTAAGCTATAGACACGATTACGGCACGACAACAACAAGATAAAGATGCGCGTAATGTTGAAGATTGCAAACTATATAATATTATACTTGTCGTGTCGTTATCGTGTCTAGTGTAAATCTAGCTTTATCCACCTAGTCTGGTCAGAACTAGGCAAAACCACTGATCTCTACTATAATAGCTGGATTGGTCATCGCCCAATCCTGGTACAGAAAAATGTGAGGCCTCCGACGCCATATTGGAGGGCCTAAGTGACGTACCATTTTAGAAAAGTTTCTTTTGGCATTTGTTTAAGTTATAGTTAAGAATAACGATTCTTGCAATACTTTTCAATCACTAGTCACTAAACTTTTTTTTGTACAATTTCTCTTATTTTCATGTAAATACAGTTAATAACGCATTCAATTCAATTCCGTTTTTATTCATCAATAACCCTATTCATAGATTTTCTCGGTTTGAAATCGAACCGTCTTGGTAAATATTTTCAAAACTATTATCCAACAACTAACAACTGTAGATCTATAGTTCTTTTTTTTTGTATTTTTTTATTGTGGTTTAATCGTTTCGAGAAACCAGTGATTTCCATAATACTTTATTATATACTCCAATAAACAATGTACTGAAATTCACCTTGGTCATCCTAATCACCTAATAATTATTAAAATTTCTTGAATTAAGGACACGAAGCGTGTGGTTATAAAGTGCACTCTCATATCTATTATTACATTTAGCGTAATAGATTCTGACAACATTTTAATATTACCTCCGAGTAACAGCTATTAAATACTCATTGAGAATGTAATTATAAAACGCTATGGGGTAAATCAATTATTTAGCACTTCTTACCATTCTACAATATTTACAAAAAGCTAGGATAGAAACAGTGATGTTACTATTTGAAATAAAAAATCGATATCCTGCGAATGACGTAAGAACATAATTCGGTTGATTAACTAAAATAACAAAATAAAAGTACATTAAAATAAAGTTCGGGAAGAATTTGAAAAAAAAAATGAAAGATAATCAAGTGAAGGTTACCTTTAGATTGGAGTTAACCTAATACTGACATCAGCTTGTATACTTTATGTGAATCTAAGGCTGATCACGGGTTTTGTAAAAAATGCATGAAATTTGACAACACTTTATGAACAATCTAATAATAGTCGACATGCCCTATTAGTTTTAATATGGTTTGCCAATTAGCCAGTTATTACACTTTAAGGACATAAAATTCCAGAAATCACACCTCAATCACATAACCTGGTAAAATTAAAATTAACTTAAATATGCAAATTTGAGATAGTGGGTCGTTTTTTTTTTCCTTTCAAATTTTCAGACAGGTATGATTCTATTCTCTGTAACGTAACAATTGCTCTAACAGTGACCGGAAATACTACGTTTGACCTCTGACCCTAATTTCCAGAATTTCTATATTTTGGCAACAAATCCGTTTCATAAGTTGCACCTGATGCTTGTATTCTTTTGAGGTGAAATTGACAAAATTGTCCCAGTAGAACAATCTTGAAAGTGGATTTTGAAGATATAGCAAAAAAAAAAGAAAAGAAGTCCCAATATATTATACATAAGGCCTATCTAATGTTTTCCCCTATCTTGGCAACCACGAGTTGGTCGCTTTCAAATTGTTCAGGAGAGGTATGTTCAATTTGCTGTAATGTAACAATTGCTCTAACAGTGACCGGAAATATTACGTTTAAACTCTGATCCTAATTTCCAGAAATTCCATATTTTGGCAACAAAACAGTGTCAATAGCTGTACCTGATGCTTCTATTCTTTTCTGATGAAACTGATTAAATTTTCGCAGTGGAGCAATCTTGAAGTGGATTTTGAAGATAAAAGCATACAAAAACATGTAGCTAGTATTTGCAATTACAGCAATAGGGCCTACTTTATATACAAGGACTGGTCGAGTTTTATCCGAGACATGACATGTCTCATAGATAAACATTGCTTTTGTGAATGTACACAAAACTGTGTCTATATTTGGACCTAATTATTGAGCAAATCTTGATAAACTGTGGTAGAATTAAGAAACGGACGACGTGTCTAAGTAACTGTCCACTGTGTGGTTTTTAAACATTCCAACCAGATGCTGCGTGTATGTTGACTGGTACGGGTCCTGTCTGATGGTCAAATAATCTCAATCTTGCATCGAGATTTAAAGTGTGGTGGTTTTGTTTGCGTTGCAGTGGCGGATCTAGGATTTAGCAATGGGGGTGGGGTGATTAATGAGATTTGCGAAGCACCAAGAGAGGGGGCATGGTTTTGGCAAGAGCGCAGATCATGGGCCTGAGGTGCGAAAATTATAGGAAATAGTAGCTCTAGATGACCGGAAATGACACTTTAAAATTAGTACAATTCACCGTCATCACATCACCATTAGTCAAAATGAAGCACCAACAAATTTCTCATGATGTTTTACCACCGACTTTCGGCAACCATAGGTATCTAATTAATATGTGTGATGTACTATAGAAAATAAAACTTTAAAACGTTGTCTTTGATGTATTTAAATTTGGCCTACCTAATGCAAAGCCTAGTCCACACCATAGTAAAGGGCTGAGGTGGGAACATTTGTGGAAATAGTACCTCTAGATTGCCGGAAATGACACTCTTATAGTAAAATTCATCATCATCGATCTAATTAATCGCTGTGATGTTCCATTGAAAATAAAACTCAATTGTCTTTGATGTATTCTTAATTTACTTCCTCTAGGCCTACTTCATGTGCCGAAAACTATTATTATTATTATTATTATTATTATTATTATTATTATTATTATTATTATTATTATTATTATTATTACTATTATTATTACTATTATTATTAGTATCATTACACGCTTTCTCTCATACTTCTCAAATTATATTAAAGGCACGCGGACTCGAGTCGTGTATTATAAGAAATTTAGATGTTAGTGGGCAGAGATAGAGAACTGTTTGTACAATACCCTTTCGTTAAAACCTGGGTCATCTATGCAGTTCATTTCAATAATTTTCAGGCATCTTCTTGACTTATATGAAATTATTAATTTGCGGACGAAAAGTGAGGGGACCAACCCCCACCACCTTAAAAATATTTGGGACGTGTTCCTTGTCCCCTTGATCATGTTTTTTTTTTGTTTTTTTTTTTTTAGGGGCGTCTTTCGTTTGACATTTTTTGGAATTAGTAGACGGCTAGGTGCTCTTGGATGACATCCGAAAAGAAGTTAAGCTTAAAATAGAATATGTATGTTTTACGAGAGTATAGGCCTACATGTATACATGAGAAGCACACACACAAGACGAGTGACCATTTTTTTTCATGGTCACCGAAGGGTGGGGGGTGGCTGGCCACCCTATTCACCCCCACCCAGATCCGCCACTGCGTTGGTCTTTACATAGAGCTCTTGTCTGGAAGTCTGACCAATAATTTTACAAAATGTTTTGAGTCATTCGACTATATGTCATTTTTTGTGCAATATCCTTTACTTTTTTATGTTTTTTTTTTATTAGTTTCATATAGCGAAAACAAAGAATTTACGTAATCCAATTCTAAGCCCAAAACTAATCAAATAAATAAAAACACATGTTTACCTTGTGAAGGGATATGCCACAGAAAAGTTCGCTGTCTGGGATATGCCTGGCCTTCGGCCTAAACCAATTAAAAACATAATTAAAAAAAAACCTTCTGAATAATATACATGAAAGTGTTTATAGTAACTAGATGCCTTAATAGGTTAGAAACTCAATTTTTGAAACCACTTTTCTATAAAATTAAATAAAAGCAACCTTTTCAAATTTCTAGACCAAAAGTCTTTATGGTCAGTCGTTATGTTTTTGGTTCAAATGTCGAGAATCGGGCAGAAGTAACATTTTGGTAATCAATAAATAAAATGGGTGATGTATCAACAGGAATTTTGGAAATGGGCAATGACCTTTACTTTAGCAACAGTTAGCAAGGTCCAGCATATTAATGTAGCAAGTTTTTTTTAATTTTTTATTTTGTAAATGAAATGAGTGCGGAAAACATCAGCCTGCTGATCGTCAGTGACAGTCAGAGCAGATCGACATTGAAAACGTTCTGCGACGACTCGTGGTATGATCGTGGTGATCGCGTCGGCTGCCAACACCGTGTGCGACGGACTTCATCCCGGTTTTCATAAAATTGCTACACGCTATCCCTGATAGCTTTCAGTGACGCTGATTGATTTGTCGATTTTTATTACGCGAAATTCCAAAACAGATTTTTTTTAAAAACAACGATAAACAAATAGTATGCAATGTAACCAACTAACTTATTTCCAAATCCGTTTTAAATTTTATATTATTAAAAAAACCCAAAAAACCACCATATTACATTACAATACTATCCTCCCATCATGGCGAAATCCAGGTTTTTCATAATCTATGTGATTGTGAATTATTAACAAAATTACGAATAAGAATAATGTCTTACTGTAAATTGTAAGGCCACCAATTTGTGACAATATTATACTACGATGAATTAAGAAAACACAATGTCACCGGGAACGTCACAGTACAATGTGAGTAATCCAAAGTGAAGTTATAAATTTTGGAAATTTTGCCTGAAATCTGTAAACCATGAGGTTGCTCCCCGATCAAGATATATTCCCAGCATCGTGAGGATATCCAAACGAGCATTTGTCATATTCGAACGTAAACCATTTTTAATTAGTCCCATTGAACAGGGGCGGCCCTCAGAAGTTTTCAAACTGGGGACGGGGGGGCATTTGTATTTTTAAAAATTTCAATACATAACATTAATATGCACTGACATTTTTAAAAATAGTGTCAAAACGCTGTTTTGACACTTGACACTATTCTGCTTACTTACGTTCCAATAGATGTTTGAACTTAATTAATTCATTGTGAAGAAGAATGAATATATGTTGTTTCAAGGGCTTAATTCAATGTGAAACGTAATATATAGGTAGTCGGATAACTTACAATAAAACGGCACGTGAATTTATAATTTATTATTATTATTATTATTATTGTTGTTGTTTTTGTTATTATTGTGATGAAAAGTTAACACAAACGGTACACAGATAGGTCAATGAGGCGACATGGTTGCTAAACGAACAGACATGTAAAAATATTTCTCTGGCGACCACTGCGAATATGATGACTCAATACTTCTGGGGGAGTTCTACAATCTTTGGATCGGCTAGCCTAGGCCTACATTATTTTACTTCAGTCGCTATATGGCTAGTGTTTACACCTGCATTGATATGCCTCTGCTGACAGAAAATAGTGCGTGTGTTCATGCTTTCTGAAAATTTAACATAGGCAGCTACTCGGCGGTGAACTGTCGTGGAGCTGAAATTACCCAGCTATAAGCCTGGTCTTCATTCGACGGCTTACATAGCTCAATAGCCACGTTCATTCTGATACCTCGCCTCAAATTAACTTGCTTACAAAAGGTCTATGACATATTTACGGGTTTGCGAAAGCAATTGTTAGCTGTTTGCCATGTTTCGTCTACGTTATTAATGCTGATTGGATTATACAATGTCTTAGCAACACTAGATCCACATTTAACCATATTACTAATAACAAACAAGTCAAAAGATGTTTCATACATTTTTATGACCTGGTTATACCAAAAGTACTGTGATATGCTCCCCGGAATTCACGAATTTAACTGTCATTTAAAACTAAAACAACCTTTATTTAACTTATTATTCGACCGTGGTTGTTCTTTGTGTGATTTGCGATACGATTCGACACCAGGCCTATCATTTCACATACCTAACACTTATATAAAAAAGAAATACAAGAGCTTTATTTTTATATAACTGACGTGGAAAATCGACCTATTTAGTAAACACAAATCAACGCCATTATGTTTTGGATATGATCGTGTGTGAAGGCATTATAATTTTCCAATTTGTAGAAAGATTATTCGACTAAAATTACGCAACAAGATTTTATTGATAAAATGCAAGATTATGCGCAATGCTTCCCTCGTGACCTATCTACATCATGACAAGCTATTTGAGAGAGACATTATTATGGTGATTGGTACCCGAATACCGCCCTCTTCGAAATTGAATTATCAATTATTGTTTGTTTGTAGGCAAACCTGACCGTTGATAAACCAATACCCGCTTTATTTTATTGGATGTAATAAATGTCATGTTTTGCATCATCCTGTCATCAGTTAATCATGGGTGACACTAATCTATCGACAGTAACGATAGGCCTACCTACCGTATGTTCAAACCAAATTAGTATGACAACATAATGGACATTTTATAAGAATGCAGAATGTCATTGACATAGACTACACCAGATAGGATGATAATTAATGTTAACCTACAATACTAAAATGTTACAGTATCTAACACACTGTCTTGATATCGGTCGTTTCAATATTAAAATTGCTCGGTCTTCAACTCTTCTTACATCAGTACTGTATTTATATAATTTAACTATGTTTACAAGATAGATCCTAAATGAGTTATGCGGCCTTGCTATCGTCTTTTCATTAATATTTTTTTATATCCTGATCAACAATTTATTCAGTATTGGAAACGTTTTCAAAAATAGACATTGTTAATTACATTATTATTTAAATTATAATAGGTATGTTATTGAATATTCTTATGTTTTATTATTAAAATCACTATAGGCCTAATTACATAAAATAATTACACATAATAATTGTGCTATGATGATTATATCCCGCCAGAGACAACTTTTTTTCATACAACTTAATAAAGGAACTTGTCGTTGAAGGGCTGCTCTATACGAATAGCATCTTCTTCCTACTTAACTTATCTGTTTATATTGTATTTACAGTGCTACGCAGCAAGCCTATTTTAATATAAGCATATACCGTATTTAGGCATATATATATTAAATCTGTAAAAAAAAAAGCCCAGCACGCTTCCGTGGTCGAAACTAAACATGACACTTTCCTTGACAGCGAAAGGTTGCAGTTCAACACGCAGAAAGCACTCTTAGGAAACATTCGTTGAAGGACTATCAATACAATCATAACATATAATGTTTATTCTTATATTGGAGCACTATCACAACAATTTCACTATATATATTTATATACAGTATATAAATATGTGTGTGTGCTTAGCTTAAATTTTTTATTTGAAAAGACTTTCAAACGAAGACTCTGATATATTTGGTACTAGAATATTCTGCTAATCCGCCAAATTTATTCGGAGAGTTCGTCTCTACACTTCACCAAGTGTGAAATTTGCCTTCATTATGCAACAGTGGATAACTAAGCTAGCAATGATAATAATAACAAAGTGATAAGGTAATAATGTTTAACGTAATTATCACATAGTTGCTATTTCTACCGTTACTAGCTTAATTATCCAACGTTCAAGTATTGTGATCACGTTTTACGTTTGTACCACTGAATTGCTGTGCACAAGAGATATTTATGAAGTAGCTTACGTATCAATAACAACGACTGACTAAAGGAATGCTAGGAAACCAATACCGATTAAATCAAGTGTTATGTTGTTATTCTATCATGAAATCTCTCATTATTTATCTGCTTTCTGTGTTTCTAAAGTCAACGTTATATCTGAGCATGGATTAATCTGAGTGAGTATTTATTACCGACGATACAGATTAACAGCAGTGTAGAAGTTTATTCAAGTCCGGTTTATAATTGGTCACAGGATGTTTACCGTTGACCGTAAAACGTCCTTATATAGAAATTGACGTGCTCTGTTTGTCTTTGACAGAAACATTATTGTAGCATTATTTCTACATCATCCCAACTAGTGCAATTATTATTTTTACGGTGTTCTTGTCGCCAATTATTCAGATACATCGCAGAAGAACTATCATTTCGGCTGTACGAGCATGCAGTTTGAAATAAACCTAGCACTTCATCGTTTGTTTACGGTGAAGTAATTGCATATACTACCAAAAGCCCTCACCTTTACCGAGGGAGAAATTTAGTTAAAATGGATAAGCCTACACATGGAATTGTCATCTATTAATAACAACTCCACCTGTTGTACTCATGGTAGTAAATTTGGATGAATTTTTCTTGTTCAGTTGTAATTTTGGTGACAGTGTGTAAGGTATGTTTTTGCTTCTCCTCAGCTATTTAATTAATATGTTTTATGATCTGTTTTTTTATATACATCTCCAAAAAAGTAAAAACAAGTTTACGTTTATCAACTTACTTAACTTTTCACAAAAGGCCAAATCTTATCCGATAAAAATCTGCATTTTTTTCGAAAGTTAAGAAATCATAATAGTGCCATCTGTAAGAAAATTACCCATTTGTGTTTGTAATATGATAACGCAGTACTTTTATTCAATAGTTAGGGCTTGTACACTGACAATTTAGTTCCTTCATTCCATGTTCATGACGACTATGACGATAATATGCTGTTTATTAAATTTTGCATTGCCGCAAGACGATTTATTTTCTTACATATCATTGTTTATCCAAAGGTTAACACACGATAATAAAAACCATGTACTGTAATATATTACATTATTCAACACCCACCCCATAACAAACTAAACACATTGATACACTTTTAAAGAAAATTTATGTGTCGGCTACATTTATTGGCGTACTAACGACAATAGAAGCATGGTAAATCTTCGAAGAATAAGTCCTAGGATACAGCCTAG